CCCCCCCCCGAGCGCAGCAAGTACAGCGCTGTAAAGCGCCAGTGGTAATCAGAGCCTGCAGCGCTGCACACTTGCTCGCAGCGCTGCAAGCTATTCCCCTCGGAGAGGTGGAGTACATACAGCGCTGTGAGAAAGTTCTCGCAGCGCTGGCAGCGTGACTACACTCGCGCTTCACAGCGCTGCCGCGGCAGCGCTGGGAAGTCCCGAGTGTAGCCAAGGCCTGGGAGTGTGCAAGTGGCTTGCATGCTTCCGGACAGGAGTCCTTCCACGCAATGGTGTCTCTCTCCTGTCTGGGAGTGTGCAAGCGGCTTGCATGCTCCCGGACAGGAGTCCTTCCACGCAATGGTGTGTGTCTCCTATCTGGGAGTGTGCAAGCTGTTTGCACACACTAGCATGACCAGGGACAGCTGCCAGTGAGCCTGGTGCCTGCCCCAGTGGGCAGGGCTAAGGGTGGTACAGCCACACCAGAGGAGCTGCTGGTGTGGGGTGCTGGCTCCTGGGATCAGTGGCTGCTGCTTTCGTCGCTGTGGTTCCTGGTAGAGTCCTGTGGTAGACTGAGAATCCTTGCTCAGTAAGTATCTTTAGAGATGGAGAAATTAATTGCGTTGTAATTCTGTTTCCTTCAAGATGCCTTTCTGGACTCACTGTTTATGGCCTGTATGTGTCAAAAGCCTTGTAGCACAAGCCTCAGGAGTGAAAATCCTGCAAGGTATCTTCAGAAAAGCAAAATAATAAGGAAAGTGACTTCCAGTATAATAATAAGTGTTCACAAAGCTCTATAGTAGGCCAGAATTTTGTCCCGATGAAGTCAGAGAATAGTCACGAGTGGGTACAGTACCTCCATAAACAAATACTGTGAAGGGAATATAATGGGGTTCTGTCATTGTAAGTGGAATACACAGTGGACCAAGTTTGTTTTCCAAGAGTAAAGCACTTGATTCAGGGTGTATTGATTTAAATCAATGCAATTTGATTAAATCACCAATTTTAATGCTGATTTGAATCGGTAAGCAAGAATTGTTTAATTGTTTTTTGGATTTGTACTTTTCAGTTATTTTCTGAACAAAGGTTGATTCTTATTAGTTAATAAAACATGTTGATTTGCAACTAAACATATCCTTACCCTAAATCCGGGGCTTCTTTTTGCTAATCAGGGTACACTATGTCTATATACATTTTATTTAAGACCTTATATAGTATATCTTGGGCCTGGTCCACACTACACCCCCACTTCGGACTAAGGTACGCAAATTCAGCTACGTTAATAACGTAGCTGAATTCGAAGTACCTTAGTCCGAACTTACCGCGGGTCCAGACGTTGCAGGCAGGCTCCCCCGTCGATGCCGCGTACTCCTCTCGCCGAGCTGGAGTACCGGCGTCGACAGCGAGCACTTCCAGGATCGATCCCAGAACATCGATTGCCTGCCGTCGGACCCGGAGGTAAGTGTAGACGTACCCTTGCATGTATTCAGATTCTTAATTTTGACATTTTTAATATTAGAAAATGATGAATGATACATTTCTTAAATTGATTAATTTGTTTCTTGTGATGCAAGTCTGTTTAGATGGAAATTCAAACAAATGCACAAATAGCATTTTAATTTTATTAAATAAAGCTACCTTAAAAGTCTGGATACTCATGATCCCTCCCCCCCCACCAACATGTTTTGAACATAATACTAACTGATATATTAAAGGCAGTATTGTCTGTAATTAATGCAATTACTGATCGTTTTTAGTCACCGTGTCTTTCAAGATTTTAGAATTAGTCTATCTCACCCTTTCATATCTAGTTTTCAGTCATAAATTGGAGGCAGAAAACAAACCATCATACTTCTTGAGCTCCCAATCAATTTCTTATCTTTTACTGAACTAGTCATTGAACTGAACTAGCTGAATAAACTGAAATAAAGAAAATATTCTCTCTGCACATGCAGAAGAGTCTGATGCTATCAAAAGCTGGTTTAGCACATCAACAAATTTTGGTTCCAGGTGTTTAGCCAGTGACTTCCACCAGTTCAGTGGTTTGACTTCCTTTAAAATTTGACAGCAAACACACTGCTTAATCTTGTTTTTTAGTATTAAATTAAAATGATTTTAATAGATTATATTTTTTTGGCTTTTAAAATAGATTGTCAGTTTAAAAGTTTAAAATTAAATAGGTTGCTTTTTTAAAAATAGCCCTGCATTTAATTTAAATAAAATTTGATATTTTTGATATTTTTTATTTTTGATTTTCCCCTGCTAGATATATGATTTTTGGACATTCTGATAGTGTGGGGCATCAAGAATGCAGGCACTAGTATGGGTGGGTAAATGAGAAAGGAGCTATCGGAAGACAGGTTTGGGTGGACCAGAAAGTGTGGCATGATCTGTAGGAGATGATGAAGGTAGAGAGGTAGGCAGTTATGGTTTTGCATTTGCCTTGAATGTGAAGAGACGCCGCTTGTATTTCAGCCAATGAGGTAATCTGGATAGGGGAGACACAGTTGTAGAATAAAGTGGGTCTTTGAAACAGTGTTCTGGATGGAAATAGAAAGGGTACAGACCCCAGAAAAGTAGGACAAATTAGAAGAAAAATTCAGTGTAAAAGATTATTTTATCTTGGTTCTTATGGTAGCATTCTTTCCTATATTCTTTCTTTCCCTTTAAATTCATTCATCAAACAGTTGTGTATTATATGTTTAAAAGCCACTGTCTGTCATATATTGAGAAAAAAGAAAATATTAACACAGTTGAACCTTGAATTACTTAGCTTTGTAAACACACAAAACTGAATGTCAGTATCAAAAAGATTATTGTAGCTGATAACTATTTCTGTGTTCTCCCCACGCCACTTCCTACTAGATGTGTTGCACCTTCTACTTCAGTGGCAGTTAACAACACCAACGCTTA